GGTCACGAGATCATCACTCTTTACTCTAATGCTTGAACTGGATATAAGTGAAATATTAAAATGATGCTGACCATTCTACACCTTGCTCAAGATCTGAACATGAATGTTGGAAAAACTGATCACTGAACAAATTTTTGGTGATGCTGAATTTGGAAAAACAGAACAGGCTATGTCCTGGAGAAACATCTGTCTCCATCTTCAGGGCTGAGAGACAGTATATTTTTCCAGAACACTGGTATCTACCTATGAGTCCACATAGTATTAGAACCCAGAAGACCAACATACACAATCAAGGGATTTGCTCAACTTCAAAAGGAAAATTTCTGTCAAAGATGATACACATACATAAATATCTGTAATGGTAGTTAATCCAATGTTTTAATTGGATCTTCTAAAACATCTAAGAGGCAAAGCTTGATGGAAATGGCCTGAAAAAAGGAAATGAAATTGAAAGTATGCAGTGGCTCACTCTGATGTCTCCGTGTGATCAAGCATATCATTGCACTCTTCACTGCACTTAGCATTTAGAGACTTTCTTCTGTTCCTCAAACTGAAATGCACCCAAAAGCAAAAAATATTTCAGAAAATGCCAGAGATCATCAAAAGTGTGACATAATAATAGAGAAACATCTTGAGAGCAGAGTACCAGAAGTGCTTCAACTAATTGGCAGGACCACTGAAAAATCTCTGAAAGTGATTACTTTAATTAAAATGTATGACTTTCACTTTTTTCAGAAGTACCTGGAATTTATGATTTGCCATTAAATATGTGATGATGATAATTATGTGTAATTTAGCTTTGACTTTGAAAAAGATTATTGTTTATATTAGCTCATCCAACTGAGAACCACACACCCTTTCATAAAACCTTTATAATTTCTGTAGGCAATTTTTTTAGCCCAATCCGCAATATGGAATGGAGTCTTCAGTCCCATCCCAGACTTTTGTCAGCAAATTATTTCACCTGATGCATGACTTCCTTAACATTCAAAGAGAATACATTTTACCTGTGGTGTATTCCGTTGAACAACAAGGTTACAAAAACTGTGTTGTTCCAAATGACGACCTCATTAATCATAAGTACAGCAGAACAGCCAAGTTCTTGAGCATAAATAGCAACACTGCCAGTCTCCACACAACTTTACACAAGTTTTTCACTAAAACCAATATCAGTATTCCAGGAACCAAGATGCTTATCGCTAATGTGCTTACAAATTATTTATCAAGTGTGGTATATTGTCACAGCACTTGAAGACATAAAAGCAGAACAAAATGAGGTAGCAGCAACGTTCTAAGTCTAATGCACAACATAACTGGTTGTTAACTGTAATTGTACCTTGGAATGACTACATGGCAATTAGAAGAAATGCAACATGAACTTTCACATGCTTAGCAACAAGTTACACTTTCCACTTGTGGCTGAGCAAAGACATCAACTGGCAGCAATCTACATATTCATCAAAAAAGTAAATTAAATTCCTAAATTTCTCAGTTAAAATTAACAAATGAGGGACTTCACAAGGACAGTATCCACGTTTCACACTGGCAATATTACATTTATATCACAAACATCTGCAGTGTCCTTGTCATGCCAACTTGCCTAAAGCAGTGAACTAATTTCTAGAAAAATCTGAAGTGTTTGTCATATATATTTAGAAGGACTTCACATGCTTGCCAGTTGAAGGCACACAAAAGAGGCAGTGTGCCAACTTAGAAAATGTGAATGAATCATGTTGGCAGTATTTATTTAACATTGCAAAGTGTTCTACTGGGAGACAAATATCACATGTAGCTAGATATTCACCAACACTCAGGAGATGCTTACTGGATGGCACAAGAAACATAACTGTCTCATACTGCGTAATGCAGTTAAAAATTGCATGAGACTATTATGTCCATATGCTCTCTTCTATAATGGGTTAAGCAATACAGCTATTTTATATCTATAAGAGAAATCAAGTTACACCAGAAATGTGAAAACTGTTTAAAAATTCAGTAGTATAAATACCAGTTTGATTAAAGAATTACATAAAATAATATATGATATGAAAACATTACTAAATTGTGTCACAAATGATTTCTTAGGGGGCTAACTACTTCAAAACACCAGAAGTCTGCATTCCTAATACACTTATACCAAAAACCAACACAGAAGAAGGAATAGTTGAAGGCATGACCACAGAAAATTGTAGTTTCAAGAAGTGAATAAAGCGTGAAAATGTTTCTGTGGTGTAATTTCAGTGAAATCTATTCTATAAGAGCCCATGGTTTCATAATGAAGGTTATAGTACACTCAATTTATAACAAATACTTAAATAAAACTAAACATATTTCCATATATATTTAAAATCACTATAGCAATATTGTTGGTGGTGGACTATACCTTATTAGTTGGGCTATATGAAAAAAAAATTAATTCAAAAACCTGCTTTGTGGGAGAAAGAACTTGTATGCAAAGAATGTCAACTTCAGCAATAACTGTAGATTCATGTGTACAGTCTGAAGCACCATCTGCAGTGTCAAAACTTAATTACTGAGCCAACCTTCAACCATCAACTCTGGCAATTCTATTATAAGTAAAACAAGAAACATCACATGAAAAATTACCACACAAAACTGTTAACATCTGTAATAATTGGCAACTATGTTTGAAATGTGTTATATTACTATCTACTTTTATTCTCTTTAGTGCTAGAAACATCTACCCAAGGAACAGAACAGATGGTTATCACAACAGTTTGCATCTAAAATTACAAGTTTCATCAATTCTCACTTCTACTTGTCCATACAGTTGCTGAATGTACAACTCCCAACAGCTGAAGAGCAAATTTATCTATACCAATGCGAAAATACGTAACAAAAGCACTAGACAGATGTATCGAAGTCCAACGTCTTCTCTTTATATAGTGTTCTACATGTAGAATGCATAACAGGTACACAGCTCAGCACAAGAATGCTAATTATTAATAAAAGCCTTAAGGAAACAACCATTAACACATTCATGACTGACACAAGAATATTTCTTATGAACTGACCGCATCATTCTCAAACCTAAGCTAAGTCTGAAGGCTTCTGTACTTCTGGACTTTGTCCAGCGTTCAAATTATAAAACTGACATTTCAGAAGCCAGATTTTGCTTCTGTCTCTAGGTAAAAAAGGGAGGTAAGAGGATAAAAAGCCTATCTGTCCACTTTTCTCCCTTTTTTACCTTAAGAAACAAGTGGAACGCAGCTTCTGAAATACTGTAGTTTTAATATTTTGTAATTTAGATGATGCACGAGTCCAAAAGAAAAATTTTGCGTACTCCTGCCAGTGGTGGGTATGATTTTTAAATATGGCAATGCAGTCTCTGTTTCTAAATTAGCAAATACTAGTTTTTATGTATAATCTGAAATCATATGTGCAGGTAAATAGTACAAATAAAAGATCTATCATGGTCCTGATAAACATAAAATTGGTGCATAATATACATAAATTTTGTACACATCTCCCAGAACCATGAAAAGAGAAAAGCAAATGTCTGTCTTGTTTTCTATTACTGGTACATCATACTGGACCAGCCAATTCACACACACACACACACAAAACAATTAAACCAGTCAGTGTATAAGTTATATGGACATGACAAATGCATCATTCTGCTTATCTACCCAGATTTCAATCTTAAAATAAGATCAATTAAACTAATTTTATTTTGACCCATTTATGTACCTGGTAATCAAAACTCTTATCTAAGTATAACTAAAATATGACAATGACAGGAACTGTATTATATTTGACTTTTGCATATCAGAAAAATGGCAGGCAAAGTGTGCAGACAGATACAGTAAAACCCCTCTAGTTGGACACCCCTATATATTGGACACTTTTAATTGGAACTGGCGAATATCCTATAATTTTACATATCCACAATACCCTATATCTTGGACACCCCTTTTGTTGTAAGTTGGACAGGTGCATGCATGTTCTTAGCTTCAATGCTTTTATGGGAAACGTTTACAGTTAGTATTTTGTTGTTTTGAATTTCTGACTGATGAATGCCTTCTACCTGAGGATTTGCTTATGGTTGAGGGTGTGAGACATTGAACACATCATTGGAATGCAGTGAAAGTGTATAGTTATTCCTTTGTTAAACCCCTCACTGTAGTTTTAACTTTGTCAGTACAGTGCCTGCAACTGAGTAAACAGTGTTAACAGAAATTGGAACGGTATGCTTTCGCTCATAACCAACAAGGAATGGTTGAAACTTTATTCGGATTGCAGCGAAAATTAGTAAGAGGATGGGCAACTTCCAAAATAGAAGCAAAAAAGCAGTGTCTTGTGACGGCCTTTTTTACAAGAAATAAGTGACATCTTATGTTGAGCTAATGCC